CTGTTCACGGTCTCAAAGTATCCCAGCACATAGACACGTAGGAGCTGGTTGTGCAGACCAGATTCAACCTGAATTTAATGCTGGGGTCGGTCCACCTAAGCTTGAATCACTTTTACATTTGCCATCTCGATCACTCAACTGCGACCTGTGCTAACAATATCTACCCCGACTACTATTTGCCTACCGCACCTCACACCAAGAAACTCTGGGGGATTCGCCTTACTTTTGTCTATTTGGACGCGACCCTACACTTCCCCTCGACCTCGCGTTCCTCAACGTAGACGCCGCATGGAAATCCGACGATCTGCCGCAATACAAGCGACGCCTAGCCGCGTCCTGGAAGGAGACTCGCTCGCTAGTTGAACAGCAACTCATCGTGGGACAGAACAAAAACGCATGGACCAAGTCGGGCCAAAAGCCCGTCGACTAAGATGACCAGATGGCGGTCTGGGTGTACAAATACTTCGCCAAGTCGGTCGAAAAACGATCACCGGACCGGCAAACTAGCTTGCCACTGGCATGGACCGTATCGGATTGCCCGAAAGATGGGGCCGAACACGTACAAAATTGACATATCCACGCACCCGGACAAGATGGTGACGGTCAATGTAGACTGGCTCAAACCCTTTCGCAGCTATTACTCTCGTCCGTTCAACGACGATATTCCGGAGGACGACTCCCCGATCGACGAGCTTACGGCCGATTGACTACCGGAATCCAGCTTCTCTAGTCGAGTGACTTTCAGCGACAATGATGTCGCCTACACCGCGACAGATTCCCCCATCTTCCGCTTGGTGGACAAGCGCAGGATGCCTCAATCTCGCGAACCAGAATACCTGGTCGAGTACGTGGACGGGCACAAGCCCTGGATCCGCGCGACTAAGCTACAAGACTATAGGACTTATATTGACAGCTTCGAGAATGAGCGGCGAATGTCACAAGGTCTACCGCCCCTACGGCGTTCCAGTCGTTTGCCGACCACGACGAGGAGCCGACACAATACGTACTATTCTAGTCGAGGAGAGTGCTCGAAAATCGACGATCAAGACTCGAGCAAAGTTGGACGTTTTCAAATCAGGCACGGCGAATGCTTCCACCCACCGAGTGAAGTAGTCGGCGAAGATGAGGATGAACTTGTCGCCTTTGTTTGAGGTAGGTAGTGGCCCAGGGGCGTCCACGACCATCAGACTAAACGGTCCTTTGAGGGAAAAGACCGGCATGCGTTGCATTTCGCCTTGTCGCCACGGTCGTCCTCCTTTGGCACGGTTGCAGTCGGGTCACTTCGAGACGTACTCCTTGAAATCCTGCTGCAGTCCAGCCAGTAGCTCGTTCGGCGAATTGTTCACGCGTCTTAGTGAATCCAAGATGCCCAGCAAATTGTGAGGCATGACTCGCGTGTAAGACCTCTTTCACCCTAGTTCGGGGTTCCGCAATGGCGGCTTGTGAGGAACGTAGCGACATACGATTCCTTGCCTGATCGTGTACTATTGAGCGTTCTGCGTAACGAGTTTCAGGAGATGCGTATCGATCGGTAGCGCGCCATCATCTAGGTACGCTCGTAGCGCCACGATCCAAGGGTCTTTGGCCTGTTCGTTATACAGCCTCGGGGAGGGTCGTCCTCGCCGGTAGAACAGTTAGATAGGGTTTGCCCTCTTTGGTTGAGGATGTGATTCAGCCACATGCTCTTGAGGAGGCGTGGTACTAACGTCTTCCAGCGTGGCACCACTGGTCAACTGTTTAACGCTGCGTGTCATCACAGGGCATGCACTTCGGGAGAGGTCATCTGCTGCACCATTGAGTTCGCCCGGCCGATGGATTACTGTGTAGTCAAGTCGTTGCAGTTCCATGGCCCATCGCGCTAGTTTGTGGTTGCCTGACCGGGTCCCCGTGTTGAACAGCCAAGTGAGGGCTTCGTGATCCGTATAGATGTCGAAGTGCGGTCTGTCTATGTACGGTCGGAATTTGCGTGTGGCCCAGACTACCCTCCAACATTTGATCTCGGAGATTCCCATGTCCTTGGTGATCCACTTCTGATGTGCCTTTGACAGGGACTGACTGGCATATGCGATGACTCGATTCTTCACATTCTGTTTCTGCATGAGGACGGCCCCAACAGCGATGTGACTCACGTCCACCCAGATCGAGAAGGGCAGATCAAAGTCCGGGTGTGCTAGTATCGGGGGCGAAACCAAACGACGCTTCAGTTTGTTTGAGTGCGACCTCACAGTCTGGTGTCCATGTAAACGTGTCCTCGGTCATCAGGGCAGACAGTGGGGCGGCTATCTTGGAGAAGTCTCGGACAAAACGTCTAAAGTAGCTGGCTAGCCCGAGGAATACGCGCACTTCGCTGGTATCATTCAGCTTATGAACTCGAAGTACAAACTTGATATTTTCAGGGTTCTGCAATATGCCTACCGGGGTGACGATATGTCCGAGGAAGGGGACTGACGATCGACCCCATTTGCATTTGGACATCTTGAATTTAAATCCGGCTTCTCTGAACTTCTCCAAGACTTGGCTGAGCCGGACGAGGTGTGATCCAAAATCCTTGCTGAAGACGATGCAGTCGTCGAGGTATACCAGGCAAGTCCTCCATTTGTAGTCGATCAGAATGTGTTCCATCAGTCGTTCGAAACACGGGACTGCATGGCACAGTCCGAACGGCATCACCAGCCATTCATTCAGTCCATATTTGCACGTGAATGCGGTCTTCTCTATGCTGTCCTTCGTCATTGGGACGTTCCAGTAGCCGCAGCCATCGGGAAGAGAGGTCCAAGTACCCAAGGTAGTCTGCGCAGGTAGGTAATCATGACTTCCAACAGGATCGTACGTTCCGGCGTTGTACGGTACAGAGCTGCTGCAGACTGAAGCGGCGCAGTGGTTAAGGGCTCCAACATGAAGGTGGAGTTGTTTGGTAGGCCCAGCCCAGCTGTGCAAGGGTTCCATTGTACTGAACGGGCCGGTACGGTAACAGCGACCGAAACAACATTCGTACCACTTGGGCGAGGGTCCACCACAGAATCAGGTATCTGATCGAGTGACATGATGCGGTCGCCATCCTGTAGAGACAGCGTATTGTTGCTCAGATTGATGACGACTCCCAAGTAACGTAGCACCTCTATGCCGACGATGCAGTCCGTGAGCGCTGTGGACATCACCCAGAACGGAAATTCCACAGTCCGTCTGGCAAGTGTGATGGAAAATTTGGCGCGTCCTAGTATGTCGAGCTTGGAGTTGTCGGCTGAGACAAAATCAGACTTGGGTTGCTTGAGGGGTGGACATCCTAGGCGTACCCAACACATAGCGCTGTTGAAGCTACTTTAGTTGACATGTCAGTTGCGAAGCCATATCACATGGCACAGTATTCAAAATGACAGTGTCCTCCAAATATTTATATTCAGATTCTGCAATAGAATATAAGAT